CTTGACCCACTGTTTTAATTTTCTTTAAAATATCATTGAATCCAATTTCTCTCATTTTCTCAAAATTACTTTAATTACATCTTATCTATTTTTTCGATAATTTAATAAAAATTAATTTATAATTAATTTTTATTTATTTTTAAAATATCAAAATTAATCTCGAATCAAATTTCAGATACGGATATTACAAATCACGTAACACTGACATAGATAAAAAAAGGAATTGATCAATTATTTCTGAACTTAATTCTTTTTTAAAAAATTATATTATCAAAATTAAATTATTTGTTAAACTAGGTAAAAAATTGATGAAAATTATATATATGATAGGATCTCTTCTTTTCAAGAGTGGACAATCATATAATATTTTATATAGATATTAACTCAATCAAAATATGTTATATATTCAATATATATTAATGTGACATTTTTATTAATAATGTTAATACATAATATTGCTTAAATACGAAATTAATCACGCGATATTTGATATGAATAAAAAAAATTACTTATCAGTATTATTATTAAACTTAAAAAAATAAAAAAATTAAAATTATATTATAAAAACCGAAGTCAGTCATTTGTTAAACTAGTTAAGAAGTTATACAAAAAAAAAAAAAAAACATTTTATAAGTCAGATAATCTGTTCTTGTCAAGGGTGGAGCAGGTGAGATTGTTCTGTCCCATCTTCCCCCACACCTTCCTGCCCCTAAACACACAACCATGTGAGAATCATTCATTTAAAATCAAGCCTCACCAGAACAGGAATCTTGAAAATGACCCAATAAAAAAGACAAACAATTTAAAGATCAGACCATTAAATACCAAATCTTTGAAATGAATTAAGGTTAAAGTTCATGAGTTAGAGAGTATAAATTGGTTTTAATTTATAAACCTACCCAAGATCAATCAACAATCTTGTTCATCATTCTTGAACTGTCTAACCCAAGTGGTTTTTGAGGCTCTGGGAGGTTCTCCACATATATGTCATGTACCATTTTTATGTAGTCGTCGATCTTGTCTGCTGTCCAATTATCGGTGTTTATAGGAGGAAGATACTTAACAGTTATCGGTGCAGGCCTGACGTGGAGGCTACCTTTCCTCCAAGCTAGATGGGTTCCGGTTAGGACCATCGGAACTATAGGAAGACGAGATTGCAGTGCTAAATGAATGAAACCCTACATTGAAAAACCAGAAAACAGATCAAAATTGCTTCGGGTTAAGGCAAAAACAATGATAAGAAACTAGATAGTAATAGGACTGATTGGAGAATGAGATTCTCCCCTGTATTTGATCAATTTTTATGATCAGAAACAGGATCTTCCAAAGTCAGTCACTTGATTATTAGGCACAAGAAGAGAGTAAAGCAGAAATTTTAGTCATTACATATACTGTAACTCATGGTCTATCACCCAGATCAAATGATTAGTTATCATGTCAACTATACATATACAGAAATGTCACAAACCATTACTTATCATGGTATTAAGGATAAGTATATACACACAAACATACAATAACTCAAGAAAAAAACCATACTTGCAGGTGTTTAATCTTGTAAAACATCGAGAAAAACTACAATACTAACAATTAGTACCTAAAACTAATGCTCGTACACTGAAGTTTAAAGAGAAGCCAAAAAATCTCAAAATCCATCCTGATACGTACTAATATACATGTTATGAATTCGAAAGAGTGCAGACAAGGTATGAACATTACCTTCTTAAAAGGGAGCAAACGCCCATTTTTCGATCTGGTACCCTCCGGGAAGATAATTAGGGACAGTTTATTCTTGAGAACAGCTTTAACTGCCTAAACATGTCTTGAAGCACAACATATTAAGAAAATGGCCAAAAGGGTCTAAGAGACAATGTGAGAAACAAAACGGTACCTCTTTCATAGATTGAATGGCAACAGAAGGATTTGATCGATCTATCCTGAGATGATTAGCCAATACATATAGCTGCCCAAATAGGGGGTACCATATAATCTGCATCAGAAGGAACTTATACATTACTGGTGCATCATAGGCTTAGTTGTTTGCACTATAAAGAGCGTATATGAATCAAAAAGCTTATTGGCATTGAATTTGATAAGTAAACAATAGATATATAAAAACTATATATATTAAGTAACCAATTATATACCTCTTTCTTTGCAATGCCGACAGTGCCGGTGGGTGTCAACCACATTATGAGAAAGATGTCAATAGGAGATGCATGATTACTGATATATATAGCCTTGGTATTTGAGTATTCTGAACCTTCAATCTTCATAGGATTCCCCAAAATCCACATCTGCAATTAAGATTCTGGGATTTAGATCATTAGCTGCATTTTGTTCGTTTTAGTTCATTATGATCAATGAGATAGACTCTTCTCGTGAATTCAAGAGAAACCAATTCTCCTAGACAAAACACAACATGAGTCGAAACTACAACCTCTTATAATACTAATCATCCAGCCAAGAGAATTCATTTCGTATCAATTTCAACTTTTGAAACAATTGAATGCAAACAAATTAAAGGAGAATTGAACCAAATGAAAGCTTACCAGCAATCTGCCAGTTACATGACCATAGATATTTCCTTGTTTAATTCTCTCATAAGGCCATGGTATAAGCACAAGCATAATCAGTGCCCATATAAATGTTGTAACCATCATTGTTAGGAAACAAGTTATGATCCTAACACAGGATACAAACCCTATCAACCATCCATCATCATCAACATACTCCTTGGCTTTACCCCTTCGCTCTGTTTCTTCTTTCTTGGTCAAAGCTTTTGGGGTTTCTTTCACGGTTGGATTTCCATTTGTATTTAAGAAGCTCTCCAATCTCCTGCTACGCAGAAACGAATAACTTCCGGTGTTCTCCATGAATCAGCGGTCAGGATTGCTGGCAGTGTTTGACTGAAGTCAGACAGAGATTACCCTGAAGAAAAACAAATCAGCCAATTTAGTAGAAGGAAATAAGAAAAGAAACAAGTTGTTTGATTGCTGAGAAAGCGCAGGAAAATGAAAGAAAAGGAAGTTGAACAGGATCAATCACACATAAAAGTCACGTATATACGGACAACTCCGTATAATATATTTGGAGAAATGTAACATCACAGAACTTTCACTTCCTTCAATTAAATCGTAAGATAAAACAACACGAATTTCCTCCATTGAAAAACAAAACGTCAATCGAGCAAAACTTCAAAAATAACAAACGATTTACCACTCTTCATACTCTTATCAGAACTGGCTCAACAAAAAAAAACACATTTAATCAACCATCAAAACTATTGCCACTGTGTTTGATTGCCGAGAAACCGACAGAAAACAAAAAAGAATTCATTCGAAAGAGTAAAATAAACCACAACCTTAAGTTTTCTCTTCTGGGTTGAAACGAAAACCGACAAAAGATACGCCCACTTGGTCGAGCTAAGTCTTGAAGAATTCATTCATCGTATCCGTTATCTCTTCGCTTGTAAGCCGTAAAGTTGTCCACTTTATTTTCTTGGTAAACAAACAAAAACAACTGGTGTATCTAGTTTTCTATAATCTGCGTGTTTTTTTGATACCCACCTACCAATCTTACCAAATATGGCTTCTTTTTCCGTGTATTCCTGAAATTTTACAAGGAAAAATACCGGGGGGACAAATCACGGAATCGGAGAGAAAGCTGGAGAAAATTTGAAAATAAAGAGAGAAAGAACGAGAGAAAGAAGAAGAAGAAGAAACGTCAAACCAAAGACAGACAGAGGAGGTAAACTGTGGCGCTAAGCAGCTTGTCTCGAAGAGACGATAATGTGGAGAGTACAAAAGAATTGACATGGTTTTTAATTTAAATAAATAAAAGTATGTAAAATTAGATATGGGAATTGAAATGTGATTCATGTTTTTTGGAGGGTTTTGTTTGGTGTTTTATTATATTTGTTTGTTCCTTTTGGGTGTGTGTTTGATGAATGTGAATGGTGGGTTTTGGTAATGACAAGTGTCTTAATCCCATTGTGGGGTTGGGAAGAGTCTTTTGTTCTTTCTCTTTTTGTTTTCAATGTCAAAATGAAATTTAGAAAATCTATAGATTTTATTGGTTCTTGTAATATTATTTCATCTTTGGATAATCTTTTATATATATATATATATACACACACACATATCTAGGTGTGATCCTCACACATTAAGTCACATCATAAAAAAAAAATTGATTATTTTCATAATTAGTTTAATTATTTCCATTATTTAATAATTTAATACTTAAATCAAACTATTTTAATTATTGAGGGTATTTATTTTGACTTTTAAAAAACAATTATAAATAATGTTTACCTTATGATTTTTGTTTTAACTATGTATACATATAATGTAGTAGGTATCCCTCAAAAATGCTCACAAAAAATGGTTATGTATATAATATTTTACTTTAATTATAAACTATGATATTTTTAATATAATTATATTAATTATATATATATATATATATCAACAAATAAAAAAAAAATCACAAGCAGCATGTGTTATGACACTAGTATTATATATACATATAAACATTTATTAGTACTATATATATAATTATATATACACTTATAAGATAATTGTAGATTATAAGTTTAGCTTTAACCCAATAATATGTGAACTAAATGCATCCTTACTTACTAATTGTTCGAACAATTAATAGTTAAGATTTTAATTCATATTTACTTTTAAGATTTTTAGTTAATTATTTGATTAACAATATTAATTCTATTGACATAGTACGCTAATAAAATAAATAATTACAAATTTATGTCATTAATATTTATTATAATTTTATTTTTAACATTTTTTAATTTGTTTCGAATCATTTAATTTTATGATAAAAATAATGAAATTAATTAAATCGTGTTTGAAAACCTTAAGAAGTACCTTAAAATAATAATTTTAACCAACTAAATATTGTCATTAATTTAATTGATTAGTCAAATTATTATTTTAAACTAATTTTAAGCTTTTTCATTAAAAAAACATAAACAAATTAAGCATTTAAAATAAAAACAGGGACGACCGCTCAAAAAACAAAAACACTCCTCTGCGCGCCAAATCTTTCAATCCTCTTCACGTCTGATATGGATGCTCCATCTTTCTCTCTCGGCATTGATCTTGACGATGAATCGGAGTTTCGAACACCTACCATAAACAATCTCCCTCCCTTCACATCTCCTGATTCTTCGGGTCTGCATACAACCCGAGACGGCGAGGATCTCGGACCCCAGGTCGCTGATTCGGATCCGGAACCCGAAACTTACCCATCAAGACAGGTATTCAAACGATTAAAGAGAGGTCTAAACATCGAAAAATCTTCTACGAGCAATAGGGAATCAGAGCCGTTGAGTCGTACGAACGGCGGTGATGACGACATTGAGGAGTTCTCTTCACAGGAAGGGCTGCGTGGAGGTGAATATTGTTTAATTATTCAACTACGGATGTTTTGTGTTTTGATCTTAAAATGGGTTTTCTGAGTGTTGCCTTTTAGGGTTGCAATTGCTGTTGTCAAATTGAGTGATTAAAGATTGGCGAGTTTTGATTTTGCCTTGTAACGAAGAAACCCTAAAAAGCTGAATGGACTCGAGCATGATAAAGATGGAGTTTTATAAGTGGTTAACGTCTTAAAGAATTGCCTAACTCGTGAACATAGGGTGTAAAAAAAAATGTTTTTAACACAATTATATAGCATGCTATTGCTTTTGAAATAGAAGCTATTTCTAGATTCCAAGGTTTGTCTTTTCTCTGGGTTTTAATTGTTGTGAAAATTTGGTTGTCTGCAATGGGTTAGACTCCTAGGTGGGTATAAACCAGGTACCTAATAAGTTTGTCTGGGTCTTTTGTTGAAACGAAGTTGAGGTCTAAATGCTTGGGTCTGAGTAGCAGAGCAACTTATTAGGCAGCTAGCTGAAATCTATTAGGCAAACTCACTTTGGAGAAGCTCTTAGAGACCTACGGCTTGAGCTTAGTGCTAAATCATGAGAGTGTCATTGGTTGTATATTTTTGTTATTACAACTGGTTTTTGCTGTCCGCACTTAGTTTCAGTATTAATGTTTGGAACAAGTGAGTAGTGTAATTTATTCACCCTTCAAATGAATTGATTTGTAAATGGATTTTTATGTTTGGAACGTTTTGTGGAATATTTTGTGGAATTCAATGCATCCTTTGTAGTGCATTTTTTGTCTAGTACCATTTTTATTGTTTGTTTATAGTTCAAAAGAGCTGTTTACGGTTTATTGTTTTCTTTTACACCACATAATTTATTTACACATTTCATTAGATTTAATAGAATTGAAATGAATTATTTGATTTCCTGTTAAAATTCGGTTTACCTTGAACTTCCATGTTTACAAGATCTATGAATGAATTCCACACAAATTTTTGTGGAATTGACTTGTTCCATACAAATCCCAAGTCAAATGCTTTTTGGAGATATTATTGTTTACCTTACGATTTTTATTATCACTTCTGCATCATTACTGGAGGGAAATTGTGTTGGTGGTAATCCTATCCGTTATTAGACCACAGCATATTATCTGTAAAAAAGCGTCTATTTGGTCGGAGTTTGTTTTATTATATTCCCAACAATTGCAGCTGCTTACTGAAATATGAATAGACATATTTTCTGGTTTCTGGTTGATAGACATAGAACAGAATACAACCGTCGTTTCATTTTACTTTGAGGTTCATTTATGATGGTTAAATTAAGGTGGATTGAAGAATGAACTTAACTAAACTCAAGTTACTGATTGGGTCATATTCATTGCTTCATTTATGTACACTGTCAAGTATATACCTAGATTGATGTTTAATTTTCTCTGCTGTCAGCCAATGCTCCTACATCAACACAATACAATTCTGTATGTGGTAGTTCAAAGGTATCATTACATGGACATGGAGTTTTAACCAGTCAATCGACAAGCCAGTGGAATGTGAGGAAAAGGGCGCAGCCTTTGGATGCTCCGGTTTCTGACGGGCTCGGGACTATCCACTCCAGATCAATTTTCCCAAAGTTGACTGTAAGTCCTCTTCGAAGGTTCCAGTTACTTGATTCTGATTCTGATGATCCTTCTGTTAGTGAAGATGCATGCAGAGGTGCTGATAGAAATGATCTATCATCAAATGGCCAAGAACCTAGTACGAATAGCAAAAAGAAAAAAGAATCAGTTGGTATGCCTCGGATTGATGATTTATGGAAAAATTTCCGCCCAAACAGTTATCATATCTCAACACCTGCTCTGGATGATGTTTGTGAAGAATACTTCCATTCTGTGAAGAATAATGATGTAACTCAAGAAAACCCGAGTAAGAGAAGTTCAATAGAAGATAAAAGTTTCCATCAAAGTACCAATACCTCGCAGAACTATGAGCAGTGCTGGGATTTTGCTGAACCTCTTCCTTCAGCACACAAATACTTTTTCCACAATGATCCAAGGATCCAAAGATTAGTCCGTAGACGTCTGCCCAACTTCTTCCCACTTGGCACTGTTAACAAAGGGGAGCAAGCTAGTGCATCAGTTATTGATTACGTGTAAGAGATATACCTTCCTTCTGGTGTTTGTCATGTAGATCGTATATCTCTTACATATTGCATCGTATGTACTCATTGCCATCCCAGGAGTCAATTTAGCAATAAAGAAGCTTCTAAACGAGGAGGAACTCAAAAGATTATTGGCAAGCAAAGTTCAGGGAGGAAAAACAAATCAAAACAATTGCAGACTGAAGAAAATTTGCCTTCTGAAGGTTGGGTGGACCCCAAAAAAAATACGGCCATTCCAAAAGATGCTGGCAGAAGGCGAGTTCAAGCCCAAGGTCAATCTGCTGGTAGTTGGTATACATCCCCAGAGGGTAGGAAGGTATGTTTTGGAAAACTATAATCTATATAACTTGAATTCTCTTATTTCCTTGAATTCTCATACAATTTCCATATTAGACTTTTATAGCCTATAGATGAGACTTTCAGGAACTTCACTAGGTAATATTAGCAACAATTTTACTTTTGGTTTAAGCTTCTTTTAGTATAATTCAATTCTTAAACTTAATTTATTTAATATTTAGAAAATAATCATAATTTACATGATTGATGCATATTGAATTAGTTTTACTTACATATTTAGTTTCAGAATGATAGACTTATATTCTCACTTGACAAAAAAGTAATAACTTGAATTGGGAATGGAATTGATGAAATTAGAACAATATTTTCGTTTAAATTTTTATTTTTATTTATATTGTATTCCCATCTATATTCCATATTATACACAACTTAAGCTCAATGAAAATTTTTGAAAACCTGGTAATGGTTGATTTCAAATTTGTCAGTCTAAGTCAATCTTGGGTTTCCATTGTGTTTTCATAAGGAATGACATCATGCATTCCATTTGTTAAAATTCGCTTAAACGAGGTTCAAATTCGGATGTTCAGTAGTTCTTTTCCACCCAGCCCTTACCCAGGGACTATTGTTCGTGTTGGGGTTGGGGTGATATATCCCATTTATTTTTGAAAAATAATTTTGACCTTATAATTTTTGTAGTTATGGCTCTACTAGTAGTAATAAATACTAAATTTAATTTCATTGATCATAGTAGACAACCGTTTTGACCCGGAAAATTTTGAATTTTTTAATCATTATTTTTGTTTGCTTTTGCTGATCCCAGCTATAAATTCTAACTCCACCTCCTATCGCTCCCCTAAACCTCTTTGGAAAGAAGAAAAAAGTAAAAGGAAAAAGGAACAAAGCAAAAGCCATAGTGAGCCCTATCACTTGTGAGGAGTTCAGCTAAGGGGGAGGGGGTTTTTTTTGAAAAACAAACTATTTCCTCATTTGTCTCCTTGCCAATTTCACCTCCACTCAACATCTTGTGTTTAATATGTGCGCAGGTTTATGTCACCAAAAATGGGCAGGAGTTAACAGGTCAAATAGCATATAGACAATACAAGAAGGTGAGATATAAACATATTACCTGATGTTTCTGGTTTGTTCTTTTTCTGACTTATATATATATATATATCATTTGTTAACAGGACAGTGGAGGAAAGTTTGGAAAGTCAAAAAAGAAAAAGAATACAAAGAAGTGAAATGGGTGAAGTCTGACGATCTTCATTATGTTTGTTCCATTCTTCTAGTTGGTGATCCAATTTTCCTTCTATTTGTTTGTTTTACAAGCTTTTCAACCATTCATCTAAAATTACCAGGTAATTTACTTTGGTTTAGTAGCTTCTTATGAAAACTTAAATGGTGAAAATTTGCGGATGAGGGGATCTAGTGCTGCATTTTTCTTGTATCATGAACAAGTAAAAGCAAATTCCGAATCAGATTTTTTTTTGGCTTATCAAATTTTAAAATAGATGTTAATGTTTCTGGCAGAAAAGGTGGTGGCGGTTACATTTTTAAGATATGCTGACTGGGTCAGGCTGGGGTGAAGTTGCTAACCCACTAGGCTGTGTTTAACTTGATCTGTCACAGCCAAGCCCGAGCCTGGCATGACTAAACTTGAGTTTGGCACTATTAAAATGTGAATGAGTCTTCATCATCAACCTTTGCTGATTCCTCTTTCTCTTTCTCTTCAGCTTTCCCATTGCTTCCGTCTTGGTTGAAAATCACAATAATTTTTGAGGATGACAAGCAAGTGCTGGACCCAGATGCCACTAGAAGCAAGGTGTATTTTTTTGTCATGTCTTTTAGGTCCAAACTACTGTCTTTTAAAACATTCTTTGTACTCTTTTCCATCCCAATTCTCTCTCGTTACCAAGAAGAATGGGTAGCCATAGAACAACTATTTCATGATTAAGCACATGATGCTCACATATTTTTGATCAAATGAGAATATTATAGTATTAGTATCTCAAAGTTTGATTTATTAATATATGCCTGATACAATCAAAAAGTCCCAAAGAAAACAAAAACCAAATCCTAAATATTAATAAGTAAACGACAAATAGTTGTGCACATGGATCAGAACACAAAACGGTTCCAAGCAGTTCCAAGTAGTTCTTTTATTTTTTTTTTGTATTATTTCTATTTTATGTTCCTTGAATAGTAGAAAAACAGTTATTCTTAATTTCTATTTAAGCATGTTTTGTAATAGAAGAAGACATGTTAAAATTATTGAATCAAATTAAGGTCTTATTCTCACTTTAAGAGAAAATTATTTCTTTAATATATGTTTTGACTAGGACCATAACAATTGGTAACAAAGCAGTCCCTATGGCTACTAACAAAGAGAGAATCGAGAATTTTAGAAGCTAGTGTAGGAGGTCTTCAAGATAGCTTCAGTCGGATGGAGGCCAGAATGGCCGACAAGCTCCATTTGATTGAGGATATTCTTCGTCAAATGACTGACTCGTTGGCCATGAGCAAAGAAGGGTCGAGCAGTCATCTGACAGGTCGTCTTGACCCGATTCGGCCACACAACAAAGGCGACATTAAAAGGCCTGATGAATCTCGACCGCTGTTGGAGTCCCGACTAACTAAGCTTGATTTTCTCACATATGTAGTTGCAGATCCTACAGAATAACTCAATTGAGTGGAGCAATTTTTCGAGTTCCAGAATATTGCAGAGGAACTCAAAGTATCGCTAGCAGCGTTCCACTTGGAAGGAGAGGCCAACAAGTGGTGACAGTGGTTGCGGTGAATGCTGAAGGAAGAAGGAAGGGTGATCGATTGGGTCGGGTTTGTTGATGAAATGTGGGCTCGGTTTGGACCTATTGAGTGTGAAGATTTTGATGACGCCCTATCTAGGATCCGACAAGTTGGCCCACTCCGCGAGTATCAGAAAGAATTTGAAAGATTGGGTAATCAGGTCTGCGGGTAGACTCAAAAGGCTCTCGTTGGCACTTTCATGGGTGGGCTTAAGCCTGACATCTCGGAAGATATAAGAATGTTCAGATCCAACACCTTAAAAGAGGCCATTAGTCTGGCCCGAATGAGGGAATAGTAGCTAGACCGGCAACACCGGTCCACTCGGCTTGGGCACTATTCAATCGAACCGGTCCTGCAAATCCTAACCACTTCATCTCCTCCAAACGTTGCTTCCCTGATCGCTACTAGAAAACGTATTTCGTGGGAAGAAATAGAGAAGCAGCACGTATAAAGTTTATGTTTCAATTGTAGCGGATGGTTTGTGCCTGACCATTGTTGCCATAAGCCTCAATTAATGTTGTTAGAGGGCGGAGTGGAGGAAGTTGACCATGGGGAAAAAGATGAACCTGAGATTTCCTTACATGCTTTAACTGGATGGCCAACGGCCCAGAACATGCGTCTGACTACAACCATTGGACATTTTGAAGTCATGGTTCTCATTGATAGCGACTCTACCCATTACTTTGTCAGTGAACGAGTTGCCAATCTTCTGTGATTACTGGTGGTGCCAACAGATCATTTTCTGGTCAGAGTAGCAAACGACACTCCGATGAAGCACAACGGACGGTTCGAAAATGTGTCCTTCGGTCTGCAAGGTATTCATTTTCACCTTACATTGTATGCTTTACTGTTGATTGACCTTGACCTTGTGTTAGAAGTGCAATGATTATCAAAATTGCGGTCTATTGTGTGATTAGAAGAAGATGATCGTAAAATTCCAGTGGCAGGGTCGGTAATGACAACTTTGTGGAGTTGGTTCTCCCACATTACAGTGGATCCCTTTCAAAACCATTGGTTGGGATGTCAGCAGAGGCATTCACTTTTGGCCATCTGCATGACCAAGGACAAAGAACCTGACCAGACTCTTGTACAGGCGGCATTGCAGAAAATTTTGAATGACTTTGTTGATATTTTTTAAGAACTAGAAGGCCTACTGCCAATCAGAAAAATTGATCATTATATCAACCTTTGTGAAAGTATCAAACCAGTCAATGTACGGCCTTACCGGTATGTACTCTTTCAAAAAATAGAAATTGAGAAGCATGTCAATAAAATGCTTGATTCTGGATTGATTAGACCAAGTAACAGCCCTTTTTCATCACCAGTCTTGTTAGTAAGGAAAAAAGACGGCACTTGATAGTTTTGTACATATTACTGAACTCTCAATTTAAATGCAGTTAAGGATCGATTTCCAATTCCCACTGTTGAAGATATGTTGAATGAACTACATGGAGTCCAATATTTTACCAAGTTCGATTTGATATTACCAAGTTAGAGTGCATTCACAAAATATTCACAAAATAACTTTCAGAACACATAATGAACACTATGAGTATTTAGTCATGCCATTTGGACTTTGTAAATCACCATCAACCTTTCAGGCCATCATGAACAGCATATTCCAACCCTACTTACTTAAGTTTGTGTTAGTTTTCTTTGATGATGACATTTTAATTCACAGTACTAACTTTGCTTTGCATCTTGATCATGTATGACATGCTTTGGAGATACTTAGATAACATCAGTTCTTTGTTAAAAAGAAAAAAATGTGTATTTGAGCAACATGAATTGTAGCACTTAGGCCACATCATTACTCCACAAGGTGTGAAAGTAGGCCAGAATAAAATTCAAGCAATGGTTGCCTGGCCATGTCCCATCAATATCACTGAATTACAAGGGTTCCTTGGACTAACGGGCTATTATAGGAAATTTGTCCGAAATTATAGAATTTTGGCTTGTTCCCTTATTAATTTATTGAAGAATGGTCAGTTTAAATGGTCAGAAAAAGTTGAAAATGCTTTCGAACAGTTCAAACTAGTTTTGTCGTCTGCACCAACATTGACTTTACCTAACTTCACCATTTCATTTATCATTGAAACTGATGTTTCAGGTGAAGGAATTGGAGCAGTTCTCTCTTAAAATGGCTAGCCTATTGCATATATGAGTCGAACACTTGGGTTCTCTAAGCAAGCTTGGTCTACATATGCCAAAGAAATGTTTGCTATCATTGTAGCAGTTAAGTAGTGGCGACCTTATTTGTTAGGACACAAGTTCTACATACAGACTGATCAACGCAACATGAAGTATTTACTTGAACAAAAAATCTCTACACCAGAATAATAGAAATGGGTTTCAAAGTTGTTTGGATATGATTATAAAATTCACTACAAGCCTCGTACAAAAAATTCTGTTGCAGATGCACTTTCACGAAAATAGGGTAGTTCAACTCTAGATGCTTTATGGATTTCGCAGACTTCCCTATGAGACAATATTCGCGGTGTTATTATCATGCATCCATATTTGCTACAAGTTGACAAGCTTGCTACAGAAAATTCGGGTAATCCTTATAGTATGAAAGAAGGACTCATCTATTTCAAGAACTGAGTTGTTATACCTCTTTAATCGGACATCATGCAACTATTAAGTGAATTTCATAATTCACCTAGTGGGGACATTCAGGGGTTCAACCCACTTTCTAGAGACTTTGCCAACAGTTCTATTGGCCATCCATGTATTAATCCAATAGAGACTCTATAGTTGCTTGTGAAATTTTGTCAAAAGGCCAAGTTGGATACACTATCTCCTGTAGAACTTTTACAAAAATTACTCGTTCCTAATCATATTTTGGGGGAGGTAGCTATGGATTTCATCGAAGAGCTACCTCTGTCACATGGCAAAAAGTATAATTTTGGTGGTGGTGGACTGCCTTAGTAAAGCCCCTCACTTTGTTGCACTTGACTATTCTTATACTATCAAGATAGTTGCTGAAAAATTTGTAGACACCATTGTCAAATTACATGGCATGCCTTGTTTAATAGTCAACGATTGTGATCCCATTTTTGGCAAGAATTTTTCAAGCTCTCCGGCACTCAACTCAACATTATCATTCGCAAACTGATAGACAGTCAGAAGTTCACAATAGGAGTCTTGAACAATATCTCTAGTGCCCATGCCATCAGATACCTCGTACCTGAACCACTCTACTACCCTGGGTGGAATATTGGTACAATACTTCATTCCATTCATCCATCAAGATGATCCATTTTCAAGAAGTTTATGGTCATCCACCACCTACTATCCCTCACTATCAGACAAACACTACCCTAGTAAATGAGGTTGATATATAGTTAACTGACAGAGATGCGCTATTGAAGCAACTCCAAACTAACTTACAGATGGCTATCAACCGTATGCAACAACTGTCCAACTAAACGACGTGACATTGAATTTCAAGAGGGTAATTACGTGTTTCTTAAACTACAACCATATTGCCAGCACACTGTATTTAAGCGGACATCCCAAAAATTAGCATGCAGTTTCTTTGGTCCCTATTAGATTATTCAACGCATTGGACCCCTGGCCTACAAGTTACAAATTCTTGCATCATCTCATCCAACCTATTTTTCATGTCTCTATGCTTTGAAGAAAAATTGGCTATGTCACCACTCCAACAACAGACTTGCCTCCTACTAGTGTTGATGGTGACATCCTCCTACATCCTGAATACATCATCGAGACATGGTGGATTAAAAGCGGCTCTAGATTTACAGAAGAAAGCTTGGTTAAATGGCGTCACTTACCCATTGAAGATGTTACATGGGAAACAACTGCGCTCCTCTGAGAACAATTTCCTAATATGAACCTTGAGGACAAGGTTTCTTCTAAATGGGGGAGTAATGATACAATCAGAAAGTCCCAAGAAAACAAAAACCAAATCCTAAGTATCAATAAGTAACTGACAAACAGTTATGCACATGGATCAGAACACAAACAGTTCCAAGCAGTTTTAAGTAGTTTCAAGTAGTTATTTCATTTCCTTGGTATTATTTCTATTCCATGTTCCTTGAATTTCTATTTAAGTATGCTTTGTAATAGAAGAAGACATGTTGAAATTATTGAATCAAATCAAGGTCTTTTTCTCACCTTAAGAGGAAATTATTTCTTTAATATATGTTCTTGGACCACAACAATGCCTAACTTCAAAAAGTGAAGACATTGCAAGACTTATTAGTCTCTACTGGCAGTCTCTTCAAAATTATGGAAGGGAATGTTATCATGGGACTTAAGATCTTATTTATTTAGATTTAATCTAGTAAAAGTAAGACACATTATACCATCTGCTGAGTAAATTCAATTAGATTAAGAGTGATGAGTTAAATAGAATAGAAAGATATTTTTTCAAGTTTGAATTTGTTTATTTGGAATATGAGTTTTTCTGCTTCATTTTTATTTACTCTCCCCCCACCCGGTCAAAATCAGACTTGAGACTTTCCAACTATTAACGAATAATCCTAATGCGGGTGGATTTGGTTAGGGGGATGAGCAAGAAGAACGTATGACAGATAAAAAATTGAAGGTAAATTATCAAATTACTTTACAAAGTTTAGCATTTGTTATTGTTTGATCGATAATATCTTTTTTATTATGATTTAATTGCTGACTTTTTTTTTTTTATTTATTTCAAACATTTAATTTGCTTGTTTGGTTTATTCTCTATATACCTAATGCATGTAAATTAGTTTTGATCATAATTTTATAGATTTAAACATCCCATAGAAAAATATCAAAATTTCAATTTAAAAATTTAAAGTACTAATTCTTTCACTTCTATTCTCTAATTTTCTCTTTTATTATTTTTTATTAAAAGTTTGGTTTCTAAAGATGAAGAGCATTAGTGAAGATGGAGTATTAGTTATATATATATTTTTTAGATCTTAATTTTTAAAAATTTGAACATTTTACCATACCCTAAAATGATGTTGAGACTTCAAGTACTTCATGGCCATGTTCTTGAGGGTGAGTAGACATAATACAATAGTACCAAGTTAGCCTTTAATAACTCAGGTTCCAAGTTAATCATCAAAGAGAAGAATGATAGTGCATATGCATAAATTTAATGGATTCGATTTGCATTTTGACGAGGAGACGTTAAGAGAAATAATCAAATTTACTATTGCTTAATTTAATATTTAATATATTTATTCATTTTTAAAAAATTGTAAAATATGAATTAGTATGACATTTCTATAAATTGTTATCGTTTAAAAATTATTTATGTTATGTTATAATTGTATAAGAAATGAATTTAGCATTGAAATAAGTTTGAGATACTTTTTTCTTTCACAACAATTTCTTAAATTCTTAGTATTTAAAATCAAAGATAAATAAATGATAACAAATAAAGTAACAAAAAATAATTAAATTAATAATAAAATAATAATTACCAACAATTAAAATAAAAAAAAATATAGAAAAATACTCAAATTTAGTGATGTACTTCCAAATAAGGTACTATAAATTTCCTCCTATTTACAGTTGTTATACCTATAAATTTTAATTTTTTTTTTGGTATGTTAGTACCATAATATTATGTTTTGAAATAAATAAATATATTTTTTTGTGCGAAATTATTTAGAAATATTCGGATTTGTTGATTTTGATAAAATCTAAAGTATGCTATTTTAATATTTATTATTTTCAAAATAAATCTTCATGATAATTTCAATAAAAACAGATATAAAATTTTAAATAAAATGCATGGACAAAATTATTATTTTTAATTAGACCCTAAGAAATAAATGCAATATGGTTGACTATTATTATCTAAAAAATTATAAAATAATAATTTACCTTCCTAATTCAATTATGAATTTTATTTGGTGATGTATTCCAGTTCAACAGCTGGACCCCACCTCATCCACTTGCACTTCTCATACACTATCCTGTACCTGCACTCTTAATGTAAGACCGCCAACCATGGGTCACCGCGGGTATGGTTATTACACGTGGCAGTTTACTATTTGTTTGTTTTCTATTAGTTCATACAGCCTAACACCAGATAGAGCATATCTTGGATGTTTCGTCTTGGACAAAACAAAATATAAAGACAACAAATGGAGTTTCTGAAAGCCAAAAAAAAAAAAAAAGAAAAAAAAAAATCGATTTTTTTGTTTCCCTCTCCGATGTGAAATGCCAGCAGGATTGAAAACACAAGCCCTAAAATAGAAAAAGGTGAAAAGTTTTTC